CCCCCCCCCCCCCCCCCCCCCCAATAACCTAGCCATCTTAGAGTAGAGGAACCCCAGTGGAGCTAGTGAATCCCTGAAAATCAATGAATGCGGTCTCTCACCTCTTCTGTGCTGTTTTCGTTGGAAGCCGCCGGTGAGTCGAACATCCTGAAGTCATCGGCAGTGATGAGCTTTCCGCTGTGCTTCTTAACAGGTCCAGTGGTGTAAGTCTCCAAAGCGATGGCCACTTTTTGGGACTCCTGTTGATTGTTATTGGACAACGGTTCCCGTAGACGAACTACTTCTCGAGCTTTGGCAACTGGCCGTTCGGATCGATGACCTCTAGGAGTCGATTGTGGTCCTGAAATGGTCGCTTACTGAGCGAAGGGAGCCAGTATGGCTGAGCTTACCATTCTCGACGTTCTCGACGGTTCCACTGATCTGGGAAATGAAATGATCCAGAAGAAATTCTTCGTAGTTATCCACTGGTCCACAGTCAGGATGGGAACAGCGAGGAAGCTGAAACTGAAATAGATACTGGAATCAAAATACATGTCTGAGGAATCGTACTTGAATTTGCAAGAACCAAAACGATGCTTGGCTTGAATTATTTAGTTCTAGGATATTCCACATATCCGGCTTCCTTTCAGTATATATTGCCGAGGCATTCCAGACCTTATTGGTAATATGGGGGGACAACGGTATCAGGTCATATTCTAGCTGTCATTACTCCCTTTCTCAGTTGTTGAAGCTTTTCAAAGGGAATTCTCCCGATGCAAATGAGGTTCGGAGGTGACTTGACAAAAAAAGTAAAAACAAGTGAAGGATTCAGTTGCGGGGCCTGAAGGAATTGGTGCTGAGATGGATCGCTGGTCAGATCGCGGGAATCGGCAGAAAATCGTGTGAAATCTCCTAATTCGCTGTTTTTGGTCTTTTGGTCCATTCTCTGTTCCCATATGAGCCGGACATGGCGATAGGAAACTTGCCATCAGGCCACTGAACAGATAGCCCCTACTGCCCACCCCCTTCGCTCCGACAAGACCTCCCTCGGGGTTTGCTATGGATAGAAAATCTCTAGCTGAACCTTGCATAGGTACTCTCTCGGAAGCTAAGTTATTACCTTTTTGAGGGCCATGCCGTAGATCGCTTGGCGTAGACGAAATCTCATATCACCCATAGTATTTTCAACAATTTGCGATAGAATATTGTCGAGTGTAAGTGGATCGATCTGAATGTCATAATAATTAATAATTAAAATTAATAATTAATCAATAATTGAAATTAGTTCAAAAGGTGAGATTGCTATGTAATAGCTCTCTCTAAAAAGCAAAATTTTGGTACCTTCGGATCTCGCTGTTCAATGATCCGTGAATAGCTCGTGGTTATCAAAATCGTTACGACAACATGGAAGAAGAGCATCTGAATCACTTCGGTCACTTTCCTAACGGTCGAAGAAATCTGTAAATTTTGCGAAGGGATACCCTGGAGGTGTGCAAAATCTTTTCTATCGTAGTGTGGGTTTAAGCCGCGCCCTCGTCGGGATTGAAATGATGTAGCTCCACCTTTCTCAAGCGATTCGAATATGACTTCAGTGTTCGAGAGTTTTTGCAATGAGCCAACAG